AAACTTTTCAAAAGGATATCATTGCTAGGCTTAAAGATCATTGGGATGCCTCAAAAGCAGAATCACTCCAATCCCAGGCACCTACTCTTCCCAGGTATCGTGACTATTCTTCAAAGGTTGTTACTCGTACACCATTAGTGTACCCAGCTACCATGGTAGAAAAGCCAGCTTCTAAGAAACACCCTCATGGACGGATGGCTTATGAATGGCAACCTATACAGCCAAAGGATCTTAAGAATATTAAAGAATCAGTTGTCTCATATGGTCTCCAAAGCCAATACTTAAAACAGCTATTACATTAATGGACAACCTTTAACAAGGTGACACCCACAGATTGGGAACGATTGGTAACAGCTGTACTTGAGAATTCATGCCAAATCCAGTGGAAGGCATTGGTAAGGGAAGAGGCAAAGCTCCTTAAACATCAAGGCATAAAGGAAGGTTTTGAAGGCCCTATAGATAAGCTTCTTGGTCAGGGTATTTATGCTGACCCACAGGTTCAGACTAAATATGATGACGATATACTGTCTCTATGCAGGAAAGCAGCATTAAATGCCTGGGATAAGGTTCGTGAGCCAGGAGAACGTCTAGAAGCTTATACCAGAATAGAACAGGGACCTACAGAACAGTTCCAGGACTTCTTACAAAGGTTAACTAGGGCATTAGAATTACAGGTAACAGATCCAGAAATGAGACAATCAATTATATATACAATAGCTTATAAAAATACAAACCCTATATACAAAAAAATACTTTTGCCTTTAAAGATCAGATCAGCTCCACTAGAAGAATGGATTTTGTATGCAGCCAACATTGATTATAATGTGCAAGATACTGGAGCTTGGGTAGGAGAAGCCATTTCAAAAGGGTTAAAAAGGCAACAGGAAATTAAAAGTTCTAGATGTGAGAATGCAAGGGCTTGGGAAGGGGAAGCACCTTACAGAGGTCAACATAGGTACGAAGAGACTAGAGGTAACTACTACTATGAACCAGAACCTTGGGTAGGAAGAGACTTCCCCTGGCGACCACGAAGGCGCCAGGAACCTAGATGTTTCAACTGTGGTAAAATGGGACATACTAAGAGAAATTGTAGACAAACGAATTTTAACAATGCCTCATATGGAAGGCCACTGCCTTCTAGATTATGTAGAAGATGTGGTAAGAGCAGACACTGGACCAATAAATGTAGATCGACCAAGGACATAAAAGGAAACCCTTTACAATCAGCATGCTAGAAGCCTCAGAATTTCATTAAAAACACCATGTATATAACAAAGGTTTAAAAACGGATTTTTCCATCACATGGCAACAAGTCAAGGAGATAGTAAAAAACTGCCCTACCTGTTCATTCTATAATCAAGTTCCATTACCAACAGGCAGTAATCCCAAGGGTATACATAGAAATGAAATTTGGCAAATGGATGTGTTCACTTTACAGATTTGGAAATTTGAAATATGTACATCATACTATAGACACATTCTCAGGGTTCCAATGGACTACTTCTCTTAACTCTAAAAAAGCTGATTCTGTTATTACACACCTACTAGAGGTGATGGCAGTTATGGGTATACCTGCACAAATAAAAACTGACAATGCTCCAGCATATGTCTCTACAAAATTGGAACAATTTTTCAAATATTATAACATAAAGCATGTTTCCGGTATACCACGCAATCCTACAGGACAAGCAGTGGTTGAGAGATCTAATAGAACACTTAAGGAGATGCTCAACAAACAAGCTTGGAAGTCTAAACCCCCCAATCATAGGTTGCATAATGCTTTATTAATACCAAACTTTCTTAATGCCAATGAGAAAGGACAAACAGCTGCAAAAAGACACTGGACTATGGAGAAAACTGCTGAACTTATCAACAGTTTATCAGCTGGTATACTTCAAAGATGTACTAACCTCTGTATGGAAACCAGGACATGTGTTACGTTGGGGTAGGGGTTTTACATTGGTTTCTACAGGAGAAGAAAAACTTTGGATTCCATCAAAGTTGATCAAGATTCAAGTTGAAAAGGAAAAACCTCTCGATGAGGAGAAATGACAGGTATTCTACTAAGGTATATATTATAAACTAAATAGAAACACCCCCCCCAAAGGAAAGGGCAGTGTTTTGCTTTTATCTTCACAGGAAAACTCATCTCCAATAGTCAAAGGACACTGCATGGGTAGATACTTAAGAAGAGAAGGTAGCTATAACCATCAAACAAAAGGAA